TGACAAGCGCTTACGTGATCCAGAATAGAAAAGCAAACATATACTCAATTTGATGGACCATCTCATCCAACAGATAAGGAGAAATGTTATTTAGGTTTTAAACATGCTCCTTAGCCGTGAAAATACTTTGTTAGTAACTAAAACACCTATAGAATATATATTGAATTGTGTGACCCGTCTTATCCAAAATCGTAAGTTGTTCTAAAAATGGTACACTCATATGTTCCAAGTGTGCAACACATTACTCCAAATAATTGAGCGACTAACATGATTAAGGAGCAACTTTTCAGCCGTCTTCCTAATTTTGGCCTGAGCATTTTCCCTCTGGCGGCGACGGGCGATCACTGTTCGACGCTTCAGAGCAGGTGTGCCACCGTCAAATACAAATACTGGCTTGGTCCGAAGGTAGAGTAGCTTGCAAATTCGACGGAAAAATCCCAAAATATGAGCATTCCGCACCATCTCTCCCTTTTCATCTCGCATTGCTTTCATGAATTGTATAATCCATATACTCGCATCTGATGAATAACAATTTTCACATAGTATAATCAGTATAAATATGATCAGTGAGTTGTATTAATTAGGGTTAGGGTTTAAGGAAACTGAAGTTACCGATTGCCAGTTTTTTCCCGGCGAGGGTCTCGACGGAGACGCGGCGGCCAACGGGGGCGATGAGATCCCAGAGACCTTGAACACCCATTTCAGTTCGCCACTAAACTGTCAAAGATCGTGTTACAGTTTTGAATTATTGCCGCCAAGTTAGTACAAATGGGTTGAAAAAATGGAACGGGAAGTCGGTTGGTCATTGAAGGGGCAAATTGGGCAGATTGTTTTTATCCCTTAACGAAGTTCAAGGACCATTTAGGTAACAATGACCTTACTTTTTTATTTCGTATTTGGTTATGGTTAGTAATTAGTCTCGGAAATTATTTTATACTACTAAAATAGTGGTATTAACTATTCTATATAGTAAAAGGTAAGATAATTATTCCATATAGAAGGTGGAAAGTTAATCTCATGAGATGTCCTAATCTATCTCAACCAAATGACTCCTAATGTAAAGACTATTGATACTCAAATTATGAAGAGCTTCAAAGTGGATGTTGCATGTCTTTGTCTGTTCTCAATTAATGGTTGAATTCGTTAAAATCATTGGTAAAGCATGAGATTAACTATAAGAGGAGGTTGTTCAGGTAATAAACACCATTTACCTCCAACTTTAAAGGTTGTTGGTTCGTCACCAAAAGAGCAAAAAGATGAAAGCTACCAAGGAAGGGTAAAAGCAAAAGTTTGGAACCTAAATAAGCCACAAAAACATAAAAGTGACCAAAATAAGTCACTATTTTAGTAAGTAACTAAAATAGGCTTAGTGGAAGAAAAAATTCCACTTTATCTAATATTCTAAACGTTTTCCGTTAGTCTCATAACGTGTATATTTTAATATATAACAGAACTATTTCCTACACTTTATAAAATGGAACTATTTCTTACACTTTATAAAGTGTAAGTTTTTCTTACACTTTGTAAAGTGGAAGAAAAATTTTTGTTTTACAAAGAGGAATATTTTTCACATTTTTATCTCTTTATGAAACTTTTGCAGTGTTTGTCATACAATTATATTGATTTGACATATCATAAAAATGGAAGAAATTATTACATTATGTATTTTTATTTTTTTATTCTGAAAAATCCTCTAATCTCTATTTAAGGACGTTCAAACATAGTTGATAGCACCTACAACATAAAGTCTTCTATATTTGTTCATTTTAATCTCAAAAAAAAAATGTCTTCTAAACCAAAAGTTAGAGTTTCGATTTATTGGGATGGAGAAATTATACATGACGAAAATACCGTTTATTATAATTGTCCTCCCAAACACAATGCTAAATATTCAATTAATGTCCGATATCATAAATTTCTTTCATCAATTTATAAAAGAGTGAGTATAAACAGTATTGATTATAATTTGATTATAGTCGGAAAATACCCTACTTTATTTTTATCACAAGGACAAGTAAATTTTGGAGAGTGGATTATCTATAATGAAGAATCGCTGACCGACTTTTTGAGGGTTCCAAATGGCTACATAGATCAAATCAAGTTAACAATACTTGAAATCTATGTTAGGAAGGAGCCTAAGACTAGTCAACAACGTTCTCTTTTATCGGTCAATGTCCATCCCCGATTAGAAAATCATAATAGCGTTGATGGATTTTCGATAACTCAATCTACTGATTTTCCTAACATGACTCATTATCAAAATATTCTTACCGGTCGATATGATTTTGATTTGAGCGAAACTATCAATGAAAGTGACTGGTAATGCTCAATAATTATATTTCGATTATTATTTGTTGATTTTGTCAATTATTTATTAATTTATATGATTTATTATTATTATTATTATTATTATTATTATTATTATTATATATTTTGTAGCGGTTTACTTCATCAAGATAGGAATATTGCTCCAAGTTATGGACTAGATAATTATTTTGGTTAGTTCTCACACTTTGAAATAACGGAAAATGTTGGGACATCCTCAAATTTTCATGTCTCGCCTACTTTTGATGCAGATGATTATTGGTATGTCCAACACTTGATTTTTTATTTAAGTAAGTTAATTGCATGAGACAAATATTTATACTTTTTTACATATATAGGAAAAATATCACACAAGATGAGCCCATTGATCCTGTGAATATCAATGATCGCAACCTTCCAAATTACGGCTCACCTTCAGCTAGTAATAGTGATGATTTGCCTAATGTCGAGGAATCGGGAGATAATGTTCCATTAATTGAGGCATCATCTAGTGATAATGATTTTTTAATGTCCAATCGATCGCCAAGACCAATGTCCATGAGTTCATTTCGTAATCATGAAATTCCTTATCTTGATCATCTCCCAGATGGTCCAGATATCTTTGGCGATACACATGATGAATATACATCACAATGTACGTGGCGTGAACCGGAAAATTTCATGAATGGTGTTATTTCTATTGAAAAGGGCATGTTATTCAATTCAAATAAGCAGTTGCAAAGAGCAGTTAAGCTTCTACATTTAAAAATAGCGAGGGAGTACTTTGTTATTAAATCGACAAAGAAATCATGGTGACTTGTTTGCAGGCGTGTAGAACAAGGATGTCGATTTAGGCTAACTTCTTTTAATGATAAACATACTAACATGTGAAAAGTTGGAAGATACATTAAAGACCATACATGTGATATGGGTGCGTGCCGCGATGGACATTTCAACTTGGATGTTGAGATGATTGCTGACGTCCTCCGTGTTGATATAGAAAAAACGCCAAGGAACTATTTTATCCTTAGATGATTTTTCTTTAACAAGAAAATATTCATTTTTTATTTGATAATTAATATTATTTTTACTTTTCAAGTTTTTCATCAAAGACTGTCAAAGAGCAGTTCTTAAAGCATATGACATTTCAATAAGTAGAAGAAAAGCCTATATTGGTCGCAAGCGTGCTTTTGAAAAAGTCTATGGTACTTGGGAGGGTTATTTTGCCAAGTTGCCGAGGTTCATGGAAGCTTTGAAACACTTCAATCCCGGAACAATAGTTGAATGGAAAACAGAGCGGCGTGCCGATGTCATTAAAGATGTATTCAACTATGTGTTCTGGACTTTTAAACCATACATTGATGGGTTTGTGTTTTGTCGTCCTGTTATATCGATCGACGAAACACGTGTCTATGGAAAATATGATATCAAGTTGTTGATTGCGATTGCAACGGATGGTAATGACTCAATATTACATTTGGCATTTGCAATAGTTGCGAATGAGAGCATGGAGACATGAAGTTTATTTTTAGATCAATTGTACTTGCACGTTGTCAAAGGTCGTAGAAGTGTGACATTGATTTCAGATAGGCATCATGGAATACTCTCATCCGTGTATAATTCTCTCAATTGGCAGGCCCCATTTGGGTTCTATCATTTTTATTTAAGATACCTCTTCACCATGTGAAGCTGAGGCTGTGTCTCTCTGCCATTGTAATGCAAGACTGTGCAACTTAAATAGTCCTCTAGACATCGCAATGCTAGTACCAGCGGAATGAACAAAGCATAACGGTACATCAACCTCTAATGTAGGCTTACCTATAAGCAACCTTCCATACCGCATGTACCACAATTTATACCCTTCCCCGCTAGTACCATCATCTACCTTAACTACTAAACTCTGATGTTGATTACCCTAATCACGAAAATATTTATCCAATATTTCAAGAACCTCCGGTCCAAGCCTCCCACGCTGATCATACACGTGGTGGTTGGTTCCCCAACTAGGAATCGCAGTTACATGTTGGGGACGACCAAACTGACGCATCACTCTATCAGGTGCGTGCACCTCAACAATCTCTAGGCAAAGCATAGGCACACATGCCATCCATAAAGGCTTATCGACCGTACAACAACAAGGAAGTGTATGTAAAATCTCATTATACGGTGTCCATCGAAACTATTTTTAAAATATAACAATTACATAAAAATCAACATTAACCGCTTAGTTTATAAATAAAATTATTATTGATTACTTTTATATAATTTACTTTATATGTAATTTATATTTATTTTTTAAAAAAACTAGTAAAAAGTTGCAAAAATTATTTGATGTACCTGATCCTTCGTCATGCGGTCTAGCTGTCTCTAATCGGGATAAGAACATGATGTGACTCAGTATCCCTATCAATTCCACTCGTCCATCACCTAGCATATGGAAGCAATACGTCACCATCATGCAGCGGAAGAGTTGATGGTTGTACGACAAGATCCTTTCCCAACACCAAACCTTAATGTGACAAATAAAATAATTAAACTATCATCATTAACAAAAAAAAATTAACAATATTACATATATCTATTTTTAATAATTTTTAAATTATTTGTATGTAATTTAAATATTTTTAAAAATTGAATATAGAAAAAATATTCTTGTACAGTGTAATGTTAAAAGATTCTTTGTATTTGAATGTATTTTAAAACTTTAGTAAAGTTAACTTAAGGAGAGGAATAAATCCACAAATGTCAACCACATTATCGATAGATGCCCGACAAAGTGCACGGTACAAGTAGGACAACACTGCACTGCCCCAACTGTACTTATCTACGTTGTGGATGGGATCTAGGAACGCCAGGTATTGTAAACTAATAAGGTTCCTCGACGTGTTCGGAAATAAGATGCCTCCCAATATAACAAACATGTAAAGTCTAGAAATTTTCTCAACCCGCTCCACTGGAGTACCATCTCTTATCAGATCTACTTGTAATTGATCTCGCAAGTAGCGGGTAATGTTATGTATCCTCACCTGGCTCGCACCATCCATATTAGCAGGTGCTATGGCACATTCTATGAGTGTCTCTAATAAAGTACGCCATGAACGAATCCTCCGTGCAACATCCTGCATGTACACAACATCACCATCGATGTGCAAACCAAACAAGACCTGCACACCCTGTAATGTAATCGTGACCTTACCAAAAGGTAAGTTGAAGCAATGAGTCTCTGGCCTCCAACGCTCAACCATAGTTGTAACAAGGACATGGTCATATTGCATCCTTCCTACACAAACTACATCATACAATCTTGACCTACGTAAGATCTCCTTAACACGTCTATGAGGTCGATGCAAACGAAATAAATTTCAGGCATCATTCATGCGCACCGTCCTCATAAGGCTACTAAATGATATCTCACCTTTCCATAACAATTGTGATTTATGCTCATGCTGAGAGAGAAGAAGTGTACGATTAATCGGTCCAGGATTCACAACACGCTTCATTATATTCTGTAAGAAAAATTCTATTAATTCGTTTAATATAATTATATCTTGACAAATTATACCGTGAACTATCTTCAAACGAATAATTGTACGAAAACTAAAGAATCTCTAACTTCAGCAAGTCAATTAAATGTGTTATTTGTCGAGTCAACCACAAGAAAATAAAATAGGAAAAAAACCCAAAAGGAACATATACCTAAAGAGAAACAGATGGAACCATCTATTGGAACAATTGAGGGATGACTATATGTTTGATGAATTTTGTGTTCAGTTTTGCAGACAAATTTAACCAACTGAATTAACAAGAATATAACCATTTGTGCAATCTCAATTTATTGTCAATTTTTACAAGGATCTCGACACAATTTATGTGCATAAAAATAATACTCTACTATTATTTATTTTTTGTACTTTGATGGGATCTAAATGATAGTTTGGGTACATTGCACATCGTAAAGTTAATACAACCAGCAAGAACAAATGAAAATGAGTGTCCGTCTAGAATAAAAAAAACATGAGACGAAAAGGTGTAATTCAGCAGTAGTCAAATACTATTTGGCAATACCAATCCAACAGTGTAATTCTTTTTGTTTATTTCAAATTAAAGACTTTTTTTCTAACTCAATATTTTGTAATTGAATGCACTGTATAAGACTTGCTGAAATTTTGAACAAATTACAACATAATTTTAAAGTAACGAAAATATGAGATAGAAAAAAATGCCTAATTTATATAATTTGTAGGATCGCATTGTTATGTTGTCGGGTTGTGCTACTCCAATCTTTCAAGATTTTTATTTTTTAGTGTAGGGCCGCTTCAGTTGTCGGATTGGGACCATCAACTGTTAATCTTCAAAGTGAAAAAAGTTTGGAAGCCATGAAAGTGAAAGGAGAGAAGAAGAAAATGAAAAGGTAAAGTAATTTTTTATAAAGTGTAAGAAAAAGTTCCACTTTATAAAGTGTAAGAAAAAGTTCCACTTTATAAAGTGTAAGAAAAATTTACACTTCATAAAGTGTAAGAAATAGTTTCATTTTATAAAGTGTAGGAAATAGTTCCGTTATATATTAAAATATACACGTTCTGCGACTAACGGAAAACGTTTAGAATATTAGATAGAGTGGAATTTTTTCTTCCACTAAGCCAATTTTAGTTACTTACTAAAGTAGTGGCTTATTTTGGTCGTTTTTATGTTTTTGTGGCTTATTTAGGTTCCGAACTCGTAAAAGCACACACGATTATTTCCGAAAAGTAAAATCCATTAATTGTCTTTTTTTTTTTTTTTGGGTACTAAAGATTAAACTTCATTAACTAAACAGGAATGCTACAAGGAATGTTCACAGACCTATTTGGTGATACAATACATTTTCACATGCCAATCTTTTGAAGTTATGCAACTGGAGTAGTTCTAAGCATAACTTTGATATTCTTCATTTTCCATGTAATAGGCCAAAGGCAAATTACTCAAACAGCTTAGAATATCTTGCCTATAATCTTTCCACCACTTCATGAAGCTACTATGAGGATGGAAAATCTCAGAGGATACTGAATAGCTCCATATCATTTTCATTACATTTTCCCCAAAATTAACCAAATGCTCCGTTGCATTTTCCTTCTCTTCTAGAATGCCTTCTCTCAGTCTTTTGGAATTTATAATAGCTTCCTCCACATATGCCCAAAAGCAAGAATCTTCGGTGAGGCTAACGGCCTTCCTTCTATCGTTACCACTTCCAGACGGGTTGTCTTCTTTCCTCCATTCCTCCAACTTTTTATAGTGCTCGGATCTACCAAGATTTACATAGTCTGTGTTCCCTGATTTCATATAGTATTCAGCTATGTCGAGTGGCTCAACCATCCTTCTATAGTTTGTCCCTGAATACAGCCAACGAGTACAAAAAGTTGCCTTCTCGCTTTGTGGCATTTCTCTTTTTTATTTCCCGTTCACACCTTGCTAAACTCAACATGAATTCCATGATGGACATTCTGATATGGCTTGTTGCAGTTCACTATCACCAAGAAGGGGTGAACCAAAAGTGAAGCAAGTGGGACGCTTATTATTGTCCTTAAGTAGCCAGAGAGTGAATAGAGATGCCACAGATCCTCCCAAAGAAACTCCAGTGATTATTAGAGGACTGATATTGCCCAACTGCAGTCAATCAGAATGAACAAAATATCAACATGAATATATGAACAACAAGGTTCCTGCAGCCAAAAGTATGTAACACCTTAAAATCAATGCTTCTGAACTCTCTAAAGGAAGAAAGTTTTGGTCTCGTAACAGAGTTTCAAGTCTTCTGTCATGTCAAATTTCCAGCATTACCATGCTAACATCAGTCAAGGTATTCGAGATTTTTTTTGCAGATAAATAAAAGAATATTATAGTACCTTTTCTTTGAGAGTAGAGAGCTCATTCAGTAGTGAGGCAAAAAGGGTTATTGCTGCTTTGTTAACTGAGAAATGAGGGTTGAGTTTGGTAGAAATGAACTCAAAAGGAGAACCTTTAAGATAGTAGGGTTTGAACTTTGAACCCACAACTCTAGCATGGAGAGTATTTCCATGGTGATCCCTTACTTAGGCTTGAGTCCTCAATCAATTTTGTTAGTGAGTTCACAAGTTAATATAAGTATATATTTATTTAATTTTCTAATACAAATACAATTTTTTTTAAAAAAAACTACTAGTTCGTTCCAACACATGAATCCCAACTTAGCTCCACCTTGGAAGTTATTAAGAAGTACAAATTAGTAGTTATAAATTGAGGATATGAAAATAAGAGAGTATCTTAATAATTTCCCTTTTTGAGTTCAAGTGATCTTTTCCCGCCAAGAAGGCCCAAGGGAACAGCTCCGGTATTTCAACAAGTGATGTAAGAGGAGACCCAAAAGCACAACACACAATTACGATCCTCCATTACCACTTAGCACGGAGTTCTCATATCATTCTCCGCTCCTTATTCTGTAATAATTCACATTTTTCTTACTATGCTTTCACTCCCTTTCTCCATTCTCTAGGGTTTCTTCTATTTGTTCTGCAGGCAAGTACAATGACAAGTAATGTACAAGAGAAAGGGGAAGGGGATGGTGAGCCTTTGATTGTGAACCATATCTATGACAGTGCAATAGTTCCCCCACCAATTTTAGCAGCTGATTTCAATTTCTTGTACCTGTACGAATTCTTGGTAAACAGGGGTTTTTTTGGGGGACTACCTCATGAAGACCCCAATCTCCATATCAAGAATTTCTTGCTTGTTTGTGCCTTGCACAGACAGAAAAACGTTTCTGATGATGCATTCAGGTTGAGGCTCTTCCCCTTCTCCTTAAAAGGGAAAGCTAGATCTTGGTTGGATGATCTTCCAGCACGATCAATCCACAATTGGGATGAGCTTTTGGAGGCCTTTTTGGATGAATTCTTTCCCCGGGGAGTGATTGTGGAGTTGAGGTGTCGTGTTTCGACATTCAAACAGTAGCCACATGAGAGACTACATGAAACATGAGTGCGGTATAGAAAGTGTATTAGAATGTGTCCTCAACATCGTTGCACAGATGAGTCGCTTCTGCAGAGATTCTACTATACTTTGAACCTAGAGAATCAATTTTTTGCGGATAATATGGCCAAATGAGCAATCCTAAACTTGACTTTTCCCGAGGCGAGTAAAATATTGGACCAAGTGGCTAAGCAAGCACATGCATGGGACAATAAATGGAGAGATGTGTCCTATGAGTCCTCAAATTCCACAATCTCCCAAGACAGAGATGAGACCATAGCCCAACTTTCCACCCAAATGACACTTTTGACTAAACTAATAGCGGAGATGATGGCACACAAGGTCCACGTGGTTAAAAGCTAAAGTGGGCAATTACAGGAGCAATATATCATGTCCAAGACCAAGAGGAGGATGCAAATTACGTGAGCAGCTATCAAGGAGGGCCAAAAGAACAAAGAACCAACTACCAAGGAGGTCAGGATCATGATCTATGGAGACCACTCCAACAGTGGAACTCAAATCATGGGTGGAACAACCAACAAAACAAACAAGGATGGAGTGCTAACAACCAAGGGAATAGGGGAGCCGGTTCTTCACAAGCATATAATGCATCAAGAGCCCCTATGTACCAGCAAGGCAACCAATCTCCACCCTATCACAATCAAGGTCAATAAGTCAGTTTATCCGAGGATAATTATGAACAAGCGAAGGAGGCTACAGATTTCTCGGTAAATAATAATCGCAATGTCTTTGCTCTCATGTTTGTCTGTTTTTAGCAATCTTAGTGCAATGTGGATCTTGTATTTGAAGAAACATCTGCATGTCCTGCTAGTATTCCAATCAAATATCATGTCATGAAACTGAGATTATTAATTTTCTTATCTTGTAGCAATCAGGTTCTTCCAAAGATGAACCTATTGGGAAGATTTTTCAGGGAAAAAAGGATGCAAGTAAATCTTGAATGGTCTGCCAAGTTGCTCTTTCATTTCTTAAATGGAAAATACTTCATTGAACGATCTTCTCACAATCACTTCCTCTTTTTTAGAATCTGTCACCCTGCTTCTGTCATCAAAAAATACTATTTCATGCTGGTCATTTTAAAATATTTGTGGTAGAGTAGTTTCACGATAAATAGATTCACTTGTGTGTTTTCGAGCTGTTGAGCTTTAGTGGAATATATTTGTGATGCTGATGATAATTCTAGAATGATGTATATACCCAGCACAAGTGCAAGTGCTCAGCTTAGATTTGTTTGCAGCCTGTA